AATCAACACATTGTGTTCAAACTGCCATGGACCCCATCAAGCACACGTTGCATACGATGATAGAAAGTAAACAAGTATCTCTTTTCGCCAATTTCTTTGATTGAGATTCCTTTCCCCGATCGCCACAAAGAAGTCATGAGTTCCTTGAGTGCTGGAAATTAATACTTAAAAGTTAAAAGCTAGAATATGTTTTTTCTTTTTTCTATTACACAAAAAACACTTATTTTATGAAAAACTATCAACTTTTACATTTCAAAATCACTTTTTTCTCAAAGATTAAGAACTTTTACTATTAATCATTTTTTCCCGTATCACTTTAAAAGGTTAAAAGCCGTATGCCCTTATTTTAACTACAAGCGCATGTGTGAAGTTTCTCGAATGAGACAGATCGAACTGAAGAAGCAGAACAAAATAAAATCCCTATTTGTACACTTCCCTCTCTTCCTAACTATAGATGAGGAGACCCAAATGCAATTTGCTGCCTCGTTATTAGAGGTGAATAGGCGATTGACAGTACAGGTCCGGTTCCGGGTCGGGCCTGTAAGTGTGAGAGTGTAGCCCGACTCGAGTGGTGACCGGTACCGGTTCAGGCCAGCGTAAGCTCGGCCGGCTACCGAGCCGGGCCGGTTCCGGGTCTTATTTATCCTTTATTTCCTAATTAATTATAGAAGTGTTGCATATAAAAAAAATCAAGTGCATTTATTTGAAATATGAACTACATTTGAGAATCGAGAAAAAAAATACAATATCAAATACATTTTCTAATAAATAATAATATAATTAATAATAAACCGGAATTTCCCTCGTCTTTGTCTTTGTCACAGGACTTAATATGTCTTGTGGCACTCCCGTATCCTTGTGAAAGCCCCAAGCAACACTCGATCTTTCTTGCACCACTTGCAAGTTGCGTACCACATCTCGATTTTCGGGTCCTTCCACTTATCAAAATTATTTTTCATAAGGGCATATTGATTTTCCATCTTAAAAATGGTAGATATAATAATTGTATAAATAGTAAAATAGATTATAGATGTATAGAGAATAAGAGAAGATGAAGATGGAGAAGATGTGTAGGAAAATGTTAGAAAATAGGAATATTTATAATTTTTTTTGTGCCCCACCCCCTCCCGGGACCCCCTCCTCTCACCCAACGGTTATATAGCCGTTTGGGATTTGGGACTTGGGACATTTCCCATAATTCCCAACGGCTATGGGCTAAATAATTTTACAAAAAAAAAAAAATAGCGTTTGGATTTTGGGTTATATAATTTTTTTTATAAAAAATATATGGTTACTAAGTGGGCCTAAGTATATTTTGTTTTCTTGTTTCCTAAATAATTATAAATAATTATAATATTTATAATGAATATATTATATACTTAATATGTACTTAATATCTACATATATTATATACTTAATATCTACTTCATCACTAATTAGAAGTGCTGCATATTAAAAAAAGTTCAAGTATATTTATTTGAAATATGAGGTACACTTGAGAATATATTAAAACATGAAATAATTTTCTAATTTCTAATAAATTATAAATTTATAATCAATCGGAATCTGCCTCTTCTTCGATTGTTGTTTCCATAAAGTGTTCGATGAGGGTGATGCTAAGTTTTTGAGTCCTACGTCCGGCCTTCAACTAATTGTGATAGCAAACAAGCGTCTCAAGAGAGTTTGCGCTCAATCGCGTTCTATAATCCGTTAGGACATTGTCGGCCGCACTATAATCCGCTCAATCGTTTTTTTTTAATTTGAGCCGTTAGGCCTGAACCGGGCCTGAATCGACCGGGCCGGTTCACCATTTCTTAGTACTGGGACCACCACCGGTAGATCCCCCCCCCCCCCCCCCCCCCCCGGGGTCGGGCCCAGGCCCGATGCTGTAACCGATTGACCGGGCCGGACCGGTCCTGCACAGTGGCGGACTGAGCCGGATCCCGGGCCGGTCGGACCGGACTGGGTCCACCACTCTAATTGCCTCGGTATGCTAGCTCTTCTTTCTGCATGGGTTTTTTCTTGAAATCTAGTTTTAATGACGAGATGGATTTATTTTGGTATATGGGGAAGGGAAATTGTAAATACATATTTTTTTGCCTTTCAGCTTTTCTAGCCTTCTTCCTTTCTGGTCTCCTGTGCTTGAGAGTTGAGACCTTCCCAAGTAGGGCTTGTCAACGGGTAGGATACAAACCGAAACTATAAATTTCATATCCAATTATACATATTCGTTGATTTTTTTTGTCCAGATTCGGACCCATTTACCTTTCGGGTCCTAAACATATGTTCCAGATTTAGATTCGGCGGATCTCGGATCCGGGTCGGGTATACCCGCAAAAATAACTACATGACATATGCAAACAAATAGAATACTTTCCTCAATTCCATTTTGTAAGATATCTTTTCTATTCACTTGGTCAACATAAATCATTCTTAATCTCTTAATTTATATATCAAACTAGTTTTCAAGCCCGTGTGATGCACGGCTACACGTAATTTAGCTAATTTTAAATTTGATATTTTTGGGATCATATATAACATGATGCACAAGCAATATAAACTCAGTCTAATATAGAGTTTGTTTAAGAATACTAAAATTGGTCGAATTGGCTTATTTTGCTGAAATTGATTAGATTTTAACTGAATGGGCTTATGTAAAGTATATTCCATTTGTAAAATAAAGAAAAAATTATATAAAAAATAGTTAACATGATCTTCTACATAAGCAATTTCAAGTAAACATAATAATTGTTACAAACCCGATTTTAAAGATTTCATAATCTCACATCTTCTAAATTAGTTTATTATGCACCTCAATATTTTTTTTTCTAATATTCCTCATTTAACTTAGTATGAAATACTGAGTACATGCTTTTAACTTTTAATAATAAGATGTTACATTTTACTTATTATTTCGTCACATTGTAAATGTAAAAATGGAGTTTTTATTTTTACAATTTCCTCATTATTTCGTTACATCGAAAATGATTTTTGATTGTTATGAACATCTAAATTATTTCATTGAGAATTTCAAATAATATGTTTCTAATATTTTTCATACAATTTGGTGCGAAACATGCATTTTTAAATTTTAATTGTGATATCTTACATTTTACTCACTAATAAGGTCTGGTAGATTAAAGTTTCGGGTTTGATTTATTACGAAGTCAAATTTATAATTTGGCACTTCAATTGCTTCTCCTTTGACTTCTTTGATGACAGTGTTATGGAAGAATTGTAACATGATTTTATTATGGGATACAACACGATACAATTCTTTATTTGGAACCACTGAGAATTTTTTTATGATGTCTACCATTCCTTCATTTATTTTGGGACGTAATGTATGAACATATCTACTTCTTTAGATGCATGAACATAATTACCCTGCGACCACAAAAAAATATCATTAGTTTTTTCTAAAATAGATGCATTTAAAATTTGAAATTTAAAAAAAAATATACTTCTTCATCAATTAGAACCATGTCTAAACAAATTAAGTTGTCTTGCCTTTTGTGATTGATGACATCACAGAGGCGTGTAACACGAACTTTGATTGTCCAGTCGAACTTAGATGTATCAAATTGACGTATTAGAGAATAATTTCTACATTTTATGGAATATTAATCAATGAGGTATAATGCATAATATAATGTATCATAAACATATGAATGGTAAAATATCATATGTACATAGTATTCAATAATGTATCATTGAAAATGCTATAGAAATTTAATGTGATGACATTCTTGATATAAGAACACTAAACAATAGAATTCTTCAAATGAAGGAGAAAGTCAATACTGAAAATACAATTTAGATTACATTCTCTTTCTTTTATAATAGCCTACATGAGTACATATGCAATATAAGTAGTTTTTGTGTTTCTAAATTCTAAATTTGGAAACATAAAATATCGCCTAATTTAGTTATGAGAGATGATGATGGAAAATATAGTCTAGTGATGTACGGTCATCATTCAACAATTTTTTGTGTAGTCATAATTGTTTAAAGTTAGATATAGAACACTACAAAAAAATTACGGGATTGGCACGGAATTTGACACGTACTTACCGATTTTTCGTGCCAAATAGCTCGTGCCAAAGTGTTTTTGGCACGATTTCGACATTTCTCTGCCAAAATCCCTGTCAAATCCCTGCCAAAATCCCTGTCAATCCCGTAGTTTTTTTGTAGTGGAAATATAGTCTAATTTCTAAATTATGAAATTAGAAATTAAGATCTGGCCGAAATTTAAATATAGTATTCTACGTAACACTCCGTAGAATCTGGTTTGGAAGAATAAAACTGTGATGTTCTTTCCAAATAAATTAGTCGATATTTAATCTGGCCTTATGTAGTTATGAGAGATGATGATGGAAAATATAGTTTAGTGATGTACGGTTATCATTCATCAATTTTTATGCGTGTCATAATTGTTTAAAGTTAACAAGGGAGATTAGCTATAGCAATACATTAGTCTCTTCTATCATTCAAGTTTTATAATTTTTTTTTTCGCATTACCTTGCGAATCGCCCATCTATAAAAAATGTAAAACCAATCAAGTAAACAATAAACGCAAACTCACAAATTAAACAGATTTTGTGTGAACTTTTCTTTAAAAAAACGACAGACAAAAAACAAAATAAAATAAATAGTAGTGTAAGATTAATTTAGCAAACTATATTTGGACGGAATATGATAACAAGTGATAACAATTTCACTTTTCAAAGGGTTCTTTTCACGTATATGGAGAATCCATATTGCTATTGAAAATAGACAGAGGTTTTGTAACAGATCAGATATGTCAAATCGATTATGCATAGTAAATGCTATGGAAGCTGCCAATTTCATACATATGTATCAGATGATCGTGATTATACATAAACAAATAACAAAAACGATTATACGAACATATGTATCAGGTGATTGTGATTATGCGAACATACGTAAACAAATAACATAAATGATTAATACCACCAAGCCAGAAATACGAACAAATAGAAAATATGTTTTTTAGGTGTAGAGGATAATCAATGAGGAGAAGAAACTCAAAAAATAGTAACTTACCTAGGAGGAGATGTTGTTCTTGGCGAGGTGGAAGAGAGGTGGAGAAGCCAAAACCCTGCGAGAGAAAGTGATGTGAAATCTTGGGGGGAGCACGAGAGAATCCATCGGGATAAGTGTAGGTCTCCCCCGACTCCGGCGAAGTGTGGCGACACACCTCCCCCTGACTCCGGCGAAGGTTAATCTCCGGCGAGCGACGACAAGACCTCCATATCTTGTCAATACTACTTTCCTTTCATCTTCTTCAACACTCTAGGTAAACAAATATCTCCAATTTATCTCATTTTTCACTTATGTAGAGCTTCATAGGCTGGATAGGCGTGGGAAGCATTCGGAGGATTGGGCACTCAGACATGTCCGATACGTCACTATGTGGGACAGGCGAGCTGAGCTAGTTGTGACTGGGACACCGACATTTGTCCCATCTGTTTCAGGAGACTACATGGGATGGTATTACAGCATCACTCGTTTGTTTGTGTCTCCTTCGTTCAGACTCCCTACTCATCATTATCAGCCTAGCTCATTGGCTTTGCATCTTACAGTGAGTATATTACTAGTTAGTAAAGTAAGTCATTTTATTTATTTATAAAATGAATACTTGTATGTATTTCAATGTAATTGTAATTGTGTTTCATATTTCAGACACGAGCTTTGCAGCGTATACATCAGCGGGCTACTGCCACAGTGAGTGATACTCATGATGTGGACATGTATGGACAGACTCTGACAGACATTGCCTCCTTGTGTTCAGATGTGTTGGGACGAGTCGACTACGGCCATCTTATACACATGCCCCCATCTCAGGAGATGGCATCGACGTCTAGTGCAGCGGCGGCTTCATCATCCCAGACGCAGCATGAGAGAGTGGTTCTTCAACCACGACCACGACGTAGGCGTAGACATCAGCAACAACATCTCCATGACCAAGATGATCAAGATGACCATGAGAACTTGTAGTTTGCCTTTTGTATTGCAGTATGTTGTAGGAACAATTTACAACATTTTACGTATGTTCTCTTCTAAAACTCCTATTATTTAAATAACTCCTATTATTTAAATATTCAAAAACCAATTCGAAAAAAAACTCCTATTATTTAAATATTCTTATTAGATTATTGTATTATTATATTATAAAAATCTAAAGGGAAAGTCGCACAACGGTTGGGCGACTTATAAGTCGCCAAACCGTTTGGCGACTTATAAGTCGCCCAACCGTTGGACGACTTACCCTGACCACGGTTAAACCCAGCAGTAGATCCGTAAATACTTTTAACCCAACATTATTTTCGTAATTAATTAATTAATTAGCATTAATTCGAAAAAAAACTCGAAATAATCTGCAAATGGATTACCGCCGAGATCAAATGGATCTCCCAGAAAGTTGAGCTAACCTTTCGTTGATGTTAGCTTTTCCATTATTTGAGAATTTTCTTTCGTTGATAAAATTTGGACAACACTGTGAGGAGTGAGCACCATTCAAGTTTGAATTTTATCAGAATCTCTAGTACCAAAGTGTATTCTCCCTCCTTTCAAAATATGTTCTTGGGGCGTTTAAGGTGTTTGAAGATATGTCTGCAAGATACTATCACATTGAGCTCAAGAGTTTCAGATTTTATAAGAATGGGCGTTTAAAATAGGCCTCAGAGCTTTAAGTGAATGCTAAAATCAATCGACTTCTTTGCCTTGAGTGTATTTACAATTTAGCTATACGAATATATAAGCTATTGTTCCTGTGTTGCTGACTTCCTATTTGATGGAGTATATGGCCCGGGAACACCCGGACCACAGACTCCTACTACTCCAGTGAAGGCCCAACAGGCACAGAAGGCCCAACAGGCCCAAATCACGGCGCCCAGAGTACCAAGCAGCCCGCAATACGCACCAGGGGGTGCCTTCGGCCCCCTGACCGAAGGCTCCAAACTATCACAGCGTGGATATTTCGAACAAACAGAGGAACTGGGAGAAAACGGCGAAAACAGTAGCCCTCGGCACCTGGAGCCCTCGGCACTCAGGGGTCCTAGGCACTCAGAGCCCTCGGCTAGTCCTCTGCAGCCGAGGGCACCTCTCCCGACATGATATCCGCCTCACAGGCGTACAGATCACCGTACCCTGTACAGATGTCCCATCCAACAGTCGCATTAAATGCGGCCACATGCGGCTGCCAACGCCAACCAGTTGAGGTGACCTCTCGGCCAATGGGCGCTTGACACGTGTCCCTGTCCGGCATTTATTGCTACTATAAATAGCACCTCATTTCCCCATTTGTAAACACGACATTCATACTGAATACACTCTCTCTTACTTACTTGCGCTCTGACTTCTCTCTAAGTTATTCTCAGCAATAACCCTTCGGATATACACCCCCCGGGTAGACTATCCATCATTTGGTGCTCTCGTAGAGAGGTCGAACAATCGAGTAAGAAACCCTCCCCCTTTGCCAAACACTAACCCTCTACCAAAATGGTGAGAACAACACGTGCCAACTCCAAAAACGTAGAAGACAAGAACCTGGCCCTCGGCGACGTCAACGCCCCCGAAGCCTCTCACAGGGCTCCCGAGGGCGGTGTCATCACTGGGCTGGAATAGGCGGCTGTCGACCTACGCCTTCAGATTCAGCAGAATGCCCCCGATGCTCGCCTCGGCATCGAGGCCAAAAAGAAAAACCGGAGCGATGACCAAGTCAGCCCTCCGGTTCTCACCATCGATGTGCAATCGGCGCACTTCGCCTTCATCCAAACGCTCACTCAGAACCCGGGTGCCTTCGGCACCCTGGCTCCGGCTCACCCCCAGGTTGGGGAGAACATCATACTTCCCCCTCTGCCACACCCCTTCGGAAACCCCACCCCTCGGGTTAGGAACGACGAAGGGGTAGTGGCCCAAGATACGTCCTCCCAGGAAGTTCAGTCCCGGGACCGCCACAATGACAACAGAGAAAGGCCCCGCACTTCCGCCCTCAACCGGCTCGGAGGAGGGCCAGACCGCCGAGGGGCCAAGACCGCCTCGGAGGGAAAGCACTCCAAAGGCCCCAGGAAAGCGGAGGGTCTGTCTCGAGGGCAGACGAGGAGCGTCCCCCTCGGGACAAAGGCAAGGCACCCCTTCATGCCGATGATGCTCGCCACCAAATCAACCAGGCCCACTCGGCCCGGGTTCGTTCGCAGGGGGCGGAGACCCTCCCGAAGGATCCCCGGGACGAAATTATTGCGGCCCTCCAACGCCGTCTTGATGAAATGGAGGCCAACAAAGCTCACGCCACCACCTCCACCCCTCATTCAGATCTCAAATACGAGGCCATGATGGCTAAAATGGAGGAATTACAGAAGAAGGTGGCCGAGGGCTCCGGGGAACCCGTCATCTAGCTCCGGACCCGGACGCCATTTACCCCAAGGGTACTGGCGGCCCGGAAAAATACCGAGGGCAACACATACAGCCCTATAACGGGAAGACGGGCCCCCAGGAACACTACAGCAAATATCAGAACAGCATGATGATGGTAGGGTCGTCGGATGAATATTTGTGTCGTTGGTTCCTCTCCACCTTAGAGGGACCGGCATACGAATGGTTCAACCGGTTGCCCGAGGGCTGCATTGATTCGTGGCAAGAACTCGCGCAGCGATTCTTGACACAATTTGCTGGGAGGCGTCGCACGAGGAAGCACTTCTCCCACCTCCTAACCATACGCCAGAAGAGGGATGAGACCCTTCGGGACTTCCTGGAGCGCTGGAGGACGGAGGCCGACAAAGTCGACGGTGCTGACGACGGGACCCTCCTGGCCCTCCTACAAACCGTCCTCCGCACCGGCAACTTTTCGAGGAGCCTCATCATTGAACCCCCCCGCGACTACATAAGGGCCCTGCAGCGGGGGGACCGATATGCTGAGGCCGAGGAGGTGGAGAAATACCACCAGCATCCAGATCAGCAGCCCCCGAGGGCTGACAACAAGAGTAACCGGGGGCCGGGGGCTCCTCCAAATCACCCCAAGGCTTCAGGACCCTCTGATGACTGCCCTCGGCAAGGCCAAGCCAAGCCCGGGGGAGGTTATAAGAACAACCCTAAGACTTGGGCACATCCCATTCTCCTGGACCGCCCCCGGACACCATTGACGCACCCCGTCAGCATCATCCTTGATTTTGCCGAGGAGAGGGGCCTCGTTGAGCGCGACTCTCGCGCACCCCCGGAGAAACATGCTATCAACCCCCAGTTTCCCTACTGTCGTTTCCACCGGCATCAGGGGCACAGGACCGATGACTGCCACCAGCTAAAAACGGCCATCGAGAGATTAATACAAGCGGGGCACCTGTCCCAATTTGTTTAAAGCCCTCGGCAGGATGGACCTTCTCATCAGGGACCTCCCCGAGGGCACCACACGAAGGTGAACGCTTGGGTGAACCCGAATACCATCCCCCTCGGCAAGAAGAGGGAGATCGGAAACTTGGAAGAAGAGGAGGAGGAATACCCCCACTACCAGGAGAAAAAACGCCACATCCTCATGATCACCGGTGGCAATACAGGGGGCGATTCCACCAGCCAGCGAAAGAAGTGGGCTCAATCGCTTTACGTGGGGGAAGTCACTCATATGCCCCCGGTAAAGCGACTGAGGGAGGAACCCATCACCTTCACCAACGCAAATCTCCCTCCTACTTCTTCTCCTCACAGGGATGCCTTGGTGATTCGGACTGAAATAAACGACACCATCATTCACCGAACTTACATTGACACGGGCAGTTCCGTCAATGTAATGTACCTCAGCACCTTCAAACAGCTGCATCTGGAGAGGGGGTCCCTTCGGCCCATTAAGACCCCTCTTGCCGGCTTCACCGGCGACACTATTGATTCCGAGGGGGTACTAACCCTCCCGGTGATCTTCGGCGACGGGCTCCATAGAGCCCAGCTCGAAGTGGAGTTCGTCGTCGTAAACATCGACTGCGCCCACAACATCATCCTCGGCCGGCCAGCCCTTGAGGACCTCGAGGCCATCATCTCCATGAGGCACCTCTGCCTCAAGTTTCCCGCCGAGGGGGGCATTGGCTACTCCCGGGGGAATCAGGAAATCGCTCGCGCCTGCTATCTTCAAGTCACTAAGAAGGTAAGTAAGACGGAATTCCGCGTTGACACCATCACCGGAACCATCGACCAAGAAGAAAAAAGGCCGAGGGCTGAACCAGCCGAGGAAGTGGAAGACTTTGCGCTCGATCCGGCCCAGCCGGAGAGAGTCGTGAAGATTGGAGCCCAGCTCCTTGAAGATTTGAAGACCGGTATCACCGACGCCCTCCGCGCCTACTCCACTGTCTTTGCATGGGGGCCGGAGGACATGCCGGGAATAAGCCGAAGGGTCATCACCCACCACCTCTCGGTAGACCCCTCGGCAAAAGCAGTACAACAACGAAGAAGACCCCTCTCCGTCGAGAGGAGGGAATTTGTGAAAAAGGAGGTCGCCATGCTCCTCTCTATTAAGCACATCAAGGAGGTGAAATACCCCTCATGGCTGGCAAACGTGGTCCTCGCACAGAAGCCCCCTACCTTTCGCATGTGCGTGGACTACACGGATCTCAACAAGGCGTGCCCTATGGACCCTTTTCCTTTGCCCAATATCGATCAACTTGTGGATGAGACCGCAGGGTGTGAGATCATGTCCTTCCTCGATGCCTTCCGAGGGTATCACCAAATTTTCATGCACGAGGGAGACGCCGAAAAAACTGCCTTCATGACTCCCGAGGGCATCTTCTGCTACCTAGTAATGGCCTTCGGCCTAAAGAACTCGGGGGCCACCTACACCCGGATGGTGGCCCAGGTCTTTCAAGCCGTCCTAGGGCGCACCATGGAGGCCTATGTCGACGACATGATCGTCAAGAGCAAACAATCTTCCAGCCATGCTGACGACCTCCGGGAAATCTTCGCCATCATGCAAAAGTTCAACCTTCGGCTAAACCCGAAGAAGTGCACCTTCGGCGTCCAAGGGGGCAAGTTCTTGGGCTACATGGTGAGCCGAAGGGGTATTGAGGCCAATCCCGAGAAGATCTAGGCCATCATCAACATGGAGCCCCCACGCAATGTGAAGGAAGTTCAACGGTTG